TGGTCACTGCAATATTTCCAAAGCTCTCCGACACGGGACAAATTTTCCGGTATCAAGTAATTTTTTTAACAAATAAATAAAAATAAATTAGACTTCGAACGGTCCGGTTTTATCGAATATCAAAAAGTCCGTAGAACCATCACTTTAGCGCTGAGTAATGCTTGCCCTAGGTGATACGACAATTGGTGCTACGTAGATAATATTTATCGGTTGAGAATATGGCCGTAAATTGAACTTTATTACTGCATTTATTCATTAGTCCTTCAAACAAATGTTATCGATAATGAAGCTCAAATATTATTTGTATTTAGTAGTAGTATTATGTAATAATTTCTTGTATTTACGCGATTACACATTATGAATGAAACTAATTTTACGGATTTGTCGCGTTTATTTTCATGACCATGAACGCTGTAAAGGGTTCGAAACGTCGGGAATTAAAATTAAAAATAAACGCGATAAATCCGTAAAATTAGTTTCATTCATAGTAGTATTATGACCAAATGCTAAGCCAAAATGATTACTTTACAACGCCTTATGTTAGGCGTATCCATTATACATTGTTAAGTCCGTATGTAACGCTATAAGAGAAGATGATTTGTATTTTGTGAAAAACCTTATTCGAATATTGTTTAAATTAATCCTGGCTCTTGCTTTTGTGTATCGAAGATATCGTCTACAAACTTTGAACGATGTACAAATGATTAAAGAATCATCTTTAATTCATTATTTATTACTTACTTACTTACTTACTTAAATACATACTATACTACAGCGTTTATGCGTTGGAACCACGATGGGTAAAGATGTACAACAATTTACATAAATATAAAATTTCGAGTTACGTAATGCCTATTCATTTTATGAAGGTCATTTCCGACATATTACATAATATGTAAACCTAACACAAGAATGCTATTAAATCCTCTTTGTTATAAATAAATATTTAGGACACATTAGTACACAACGTCTCCAGTCCCAAACTAGGCAACACTTGTACAATGGATACTAGATAACTGATAAACACTTCACACCATGTTCATCAAACCTTGTTCATCACACAATATCAGTAATGGTAATCGAACCCACACCTCTAGTGCAAAAGGCAGGTGCACTACCCGCTACGCCAATCAGGTGGTCACAATATAGTTTGTTTCATACAATTGTGTTGTAGTCGTCAGGATATCATTTTTCAATATTTAATATCTAACCGTAAGGAAGCCCTCGGCAGAGGAGACCAACGGCCGACGTCGAGGGTTAGTTTTTCTCCTACGATGCGGTCTCCCGATCGGAAACGCTCCCGATTTTTATAATTATTAAGACCGAGTTTGGTGTGAATATAAATATGATAATAATGTGTATGTCATAACAATTTTATAGATCTATTAGCGGCCCCGACAGACTTTGTCATGTACATAACACACGACTTAAACCAGACAACTTATAAATAAAAAAATAAAATTTACATTCTCGAATCGAAGGCACATAAAAAAATGTATTAAAATCGGTCCAGCCGTTTAGGAGGAGTTCAGTGACATCTACACGTACAGAAGAATTATATATATAAAGATTGGTTTTTCCTATCAAAATAATGAATATACACAATGAAATTACTAATCAGCTGTCAAATGGCTTTTCAAATGTCATTTCAGTTGCCAAAGGATGGATCAGTTTCCAGAAACCGGGCGTAAGAAAATAAGTTTTAAATTCGTTCGTTTAGCGCCCTGCCGAAATGTACGGATGAGATTTATATAATCCTGGGTGGGTCATGAAGATCCTTGAAAATCGAATGCAGATGTGCAAATATGTAATATATACTTTGCAATATTCTCACTCACAATTTGGTAATTTATTTTATTACAAATATTTTTCTCATCAACATAAATCTGGCAGATTGTTTGATGCTTGAGATGCTTTTTGAACAAAAAAAGTGATACGCAGGGTAGGATTTTGTACTATAATTCATTGTACCTACTCTATTTTCATGCTTCGTAATCTCAGATTATACAATATACACTTTTGATGTCTCTGTTTGGTTTATGTATTATGTTTAAATTACTTTAAATTTGGAATGTTAGTTTTATTTGTTCAGACTGAATTGTTTCATATTTGATGGATTACGCAAAAATCGTTTGAAGAAGTAACATGTATAATTATCTGATGTAAGTCTTGTATTTTATATAAATTTCATAATGATTAATCGAATAAAATAAGTTCAAAAATGTTTAAGTTAAAATAAATAGTTTTCTAATCAGTCCTTTAGTGTCTTTTTGGTTTGAACGTGATCCCATTAGCCACATCTACCATTCAAGACGTACTATATACTATCCATATCTAAGGATAGTACGAAACATACTATAATTTCATTACTGTACCTAAATGACCAATATTATACCATTCACTGCCAAGCCAACATTAAATGAAGTTCTTTGGGTTGTAATCACGTTGTATTTCTTTAACTTTTTTCAATACTTTGGACTTTTTGACAATAATTGAACTTTTTTAAATACTTCGCTTTCTCAAACAGTCACTTTGCACTCAATTCAATTCAAACAGTCAATGAAATAATTAACAGAGTTAATAATTTTCGAAAATTACGATAAATTTTTTATTTTTATGGCACGGCCGCTCCATTCTTATTTAAAATTTAAAGTGATAACAATTTTCTGCGAGTTTTTGAGTAAAATAATTTATTTTTGTGCATTAACAATGAAAATAATAATGTACTATAATTTTTTGTCAAATACTATCCTTTTAAATTTTTTGTACTATATTTTTAAGCGCACCTAAATTCAACCCTGGTGATAAACGTCAAAACAAACTCATGTGCGCAATTTGACATGCAGGCTCAATTTATACATTTTAAACAAAATTTAATTAATGATTGTTTATATTTAATAATTAAATTTAATAATGGGAAAACGAAAGTATGATATCCAGGAAAATGAGCTTGGTAAGAAAATTAAAAGTAGTGATTCACAAATCCCTGAGGATGTCACGGAGCAACCTCAAACACAACAGACCCCTAAGAACGAAAAGGAAATTCAAAATCATAAATTCGACATGAAACACTTCAGAAAGGAATTGTCTTCAAAACAAGGGCAAACTATGGGTATGTCAGCATTTAAATTTAATGTCTTATAAATGTATTTTTGAGAAATATTTAACATTTTGTCAACATACTGCACTGCATAGAATTGCATGTTAATTACAATTTACATGGTGAGTTGGTGACAGAGGATATAGTAATTATAGTCATATTATTTAAATAAGTTTGTATTTAAGTTTTTGATTAATTATTTCTGATATATATTCATCTAAAAAAAGTAACTATTTTATTATCAGCTTGGTTTATAAATGTATTGGGCTACGTTAAATGAAACTGTATTACTGCAAACCAATCTTTCTACTTATATTAACAAGGAAACATCTTTTCTAATATACACTTGAAAAAGATCACAATGAAAACACTATTAATTGCCAATTTTATTTATTCAAATTTTAAGAGATTGGAAATAATTGGCAAAAATAATTTAAATGTGTGTATGCTATCAATTTTTTCTATTACCCTTTTTAAAGAATGTATGTGAAAGAAGTCAATGCAATCTTACCTATGTCAGATGATTTCTGTTTATTAATACCACTTTATATGTTTTTTCCAGTTTTAACACAGTTCCTGAATGTATGTCTTAATCCAGATAAAGATGTAGACTATATTTCGGAGTACTTAAAGGTTGGTGGAAACTCACATGAGATCCTTCGTCAAATTTCTCAAGAGAATAAGAAGAACCTTACATTGGCAACACCTGCCTTTCACCTTTTTCACCTAATCATTGTCAAAGTTCAGTCATCTTTGCCACATTTGATAACAATTACTGAGGAAGCATGTCGTTACTTTCTTAATACATTTATACCGACCATTGAGATAATGATAAGTGAAAACTCAAGCCCTCGTCACAGAAAAATCATTCTGAAACTACTTACATCCATGGTAACATTAAATTCAGATTTGGGTGTGGAAATTCTTAATCAAGTGCCCTTAACACCAAAGCATTTACAATACATTCTTGAAAAGCCTAACTATAAAGAGAAAGACAATGTCCGTACCACTTTTGTACATTTTATGACATCTTTTATAATAGAGGATCATTTGCCACTTATTAAAGCTTTGCTAGAGAAGCAAGGTCTTCTCGGACTTGTTATACCTGGATTAGTTTATGATGATGCAGAAGCAGTGCTTATATTTTTGAACATTCTCAAGAAAAACGTCATTGATAATCCACTGATATCTAAGACATTAAAACTAAAAACATTTAGTCAGCAAGTACTCCACAATATGTTCAAAGTGTTCTCATGGAAAGGACCACCAGAAATAAGTACTGAATTGAAAAACAACCTACGCCCGGATATAACAGGTCTCTTGACGGATATTTTGCTTACACTGTACACGTCTCACAGACTTGGCCTTTATTTTATTGATAGCTCATTAGGTACATCGGATGCCAATAAGAATCAGAACTTGTACAAATCCCTGCTGACTTTGAAAAGGCCGTGGGAGAATGAAAGTGAAGCCGAGGTCATTCTTCAAATAGTATACAGATGTCTGGACTTGCACAGAGCGATTATCAATGTTATTGAGCAAAGCTTTCAACCGCAGCATTCGCCTATCTGGGAGAGAACTCTCGATTTCCTCATTAAACTCATAGATAAAATGAAGCCCGAGGAAATTGTCCAGAGAATGAAGAATCTCACTCCCTTACAGACGGCTAATTTCGTGAGATTTGTGACACTCCCCGTGCCTCTGTTGAAACATATCCAACCGAATATTGGCAAGGATCAAACGATATCCTTGTACTGCGCTAAAGTATTGGTGAAAATGTTGCAGTTGGTTAGGCGTTATATTCAAATTTTGGACATTGACGATACTCACGCGCGTGTTTCGGAGCTTAGAAATAAACTAGAGTATTTTCTTCCTAAACACGTGCCCCCTCCCGCTGCTATTGTGTCACTGATCCGTGATGTTGTCGAAGGCAACAATACAACAAAAGGTGCAGATGCTCAAGATTACCAACTGCCTAAACCTGATGATGCGGACGCACTGCTGGTGTTAGTTGAACTGTTGCTGCTATACAACGACCTGCATCCGGCGTTTTTCGAATCCCTCGAGGGTAACATCGATATGAAGAGCATTCTTGACTACACGGTGACTCTATCCAGCCCGAAAACATCCCTATTGAAGTTCAAGATTGTTTCGCTGTGGCTAACGCTTGATAATACCGCTGTGTCAATAAACAACCCCATGTTCAAAGAGCTGTTTCGTATAATGCTAGATGTTTATACCAACGACTCCGATGACACTTGGATCGAGGCTGAGGATACGATACGGGAGTTTTTCAGAAACACGACAATTTTCGAAGGCGACGAAAATGAAATTTATATCATGCTGCATACACTGCGGAACGTTAAAGTAGAACCTATTGTGTTGATCGGAAACATAGTTGAATATGCGATAGCAAACAAGAAAGAGCATACGGAATTTGTGAGAAATCAAATAGTACACTTCGAAATATCCGACACGAATAAGGAGGAGAATTTAGATACACTGTTCAAAGACCTGATGAGGAATAAGAGTAACGATGAAAATGTATTCGTGGAGAACGCTGTGCCCTCTTCGTTCATCGTAAGCTCTTTGCAATACACACAAAACAATAAAGATGCGAAGAAGAATTTGAAACATTTCCTATCTTTTTACGTCGCTAATTTGCTGCACTGCAATTTCTCAGCGGAGATGACGGAAATTTTGATGGGCGATTCGAAGTTAGATGTAAGAAATTATGTCGCTAGTTGGATGGGGGAGCCGATGGTTTTGCCACAGCAGATTGTTGGAAAAGACAATGTCTTGTACAATTTGTCCAGATCCCTTATTGGATGCGAAAATTTACAACTTAAAGAAATATTCCTTTGTTTAGAAGAGTCCTCAGTGGATAAGGCAGAATTAGTAATATCTAACGTTCCCTTAAAGGTTACTCGAACCATTGATACCTCCGAACTAATGATTTGGAGCAGATATTTAGTATTTTGTCTTGTAAAATTAACACAAATGAATAAATTCACAGATGTTGAGGAAGAGAAACTCGAGAGATATTTCGATTGTGTTATTGCCATCGGAGAAAAATGTCACATGTTAAGACATTGCCGAGACATAGTTTTAAACATGTTTAAAAGTTCACATGTTCTTAAGACCTTTGGCCCTGTGGATTTCGGTAAGAGCGAATCAAAAGTTTTCGCAACGAAATTTCTTCTTCACGTATTGACTAATCATTCTGATATCATAAGCTATTTAGATCAAAGCCAAAACTTATTAAGACCTTACAAAGTTAAAAATTATAAAGAGGTAATGAAAGCCTTGGTGAAGATAAAGAAAAGAAAACAGGTAAAAATCGACAACACAATCAATATTCTTCAAGTGACTGGTTTGCGAGAGAAGGATGATTTTCTGATTTTAGACCATATATTTAACGCAGATATGAGTGCGTTTTCCAGAGATGATAAAAACGAAAGATTATTGTTTGAGTTAGTACGCATAATTATCGAAAAGTATTCGAAATCTATTAAGTTGGATCTTCCGAAAGAAATTTTGCAGAAAGTTTTGAATATGTACGCTGAACTATTGAAAATATCTGAAGCTAGCGTAAATTTAAGTCATATTGAAGAAGCCTTGATCATATATTTTGAAAACAAACCACATTTAGTCCAATTTGTCACCGATGAAATATTTACAGCTTTCTTTCATACAACTGCCGTTAGAAAATCTACCTCCCAACTGGCATCTGTTATAATCAAATTCAATGAGAAATTTTGCACTATATTCAAAAAAAAGATCAACAGGGCTGAAATTTTGAGCCAGAGGGAGTTAACTTTGCCACTGGGTAACGCTTTATTGGATCATAATATCTTCCTAACAAGTAATAAAGAGTTTTTAATGAAAATATACGAAGAATATAAATCAAATATTTATAAATATTTGGAGAAACCACACAAAGCTGGTCAAGTTTATTTAGCAACTTGGAAGTTCATTAGAAAGCTGATCATCGAATGTATAGACACACCGACTTGCCGGAAATTGTTTAACAAAACTCACAAATTCGAAGTAGTCGATTTGGGGCACGCGAATATATTCCAAGCGGTATTTCTTAAAGTATGTCTGTTTGATGAAGATTTAAAAATGGATTATCTCGTTAATTACATTCTATCCATGTTAAATTTAATAAACACTGCAATGAAAGAGAACGTCGAGGTCGATTTGTTGAGAAACATTGTATTGAACGTATCGCGGGCTGTATCGATTTGCACCTCGATAAGTGGATTCCAGGTGGAGAGGAAAGATGAGTTCGCGAAAGTAACGGAGAGCTCCATCTGGCAGAACTTTTGTAAAGCGGTTTTGAAGGACTCTTTGAGGGTGAAAACGGCGAATCAACCTGTTGGAACGGGACCAATTCTTTTATCTTTGCTGACGAAGCTCATAAAATTGTTCTATCCCGACGGCCATGCCGATGTAGTCACACTCTTCGACATGGTAACCTCGCACTCCGAGTTCCTGAACGTGATGCTTAGCCACCACAGCCCCGCAATCAAATCGAGGCTATTGCAAATCCTCCATGCCCTGATATCCATCAACAAGACCGTGATGAAATCACAACAGATACCGGTGTATTTGAGCGCGTACGGCGCCACGAGGAGCCCGTGCGATAGACTTATCCTGTCGCTTTTGTATATGTACGAGAGCAACGCGCAACCAGTGAATGAATACAAACCTTACGTATGGGGGGATTCAGCTGCCAACTATTACGCCGTGCGAAAGAACAGAACTTCGTCTCTGTGGGGTCATCCGACGCCGAACCAGGTGCTGAATCTCTTCGACAGGGAGCTGGTCGAGAGGACGGTGAGACATTTCCCCGTAACCGAAAGGTTGGAATACATCTACGAGTTGTCAGATTGTTGCGTTGACGATGATCGTTTGTTGGTGAATGATTCCGTCCGAACGCTCTTAGAAGAATTAAATAATGAGCAAAGCACCACTAGCGTTTACGATAATGAATCCTCGATTAAACGGCTAATGCAAAAGTCACGGATCGATAAGATCCTGTTGGAGTTTAAGGAGAAGGACATGACCGGTCTCTCGCACGCGGATACCGATCCGGAAATCTACGACCCCGTCTTTATATTTTCGCTGCTGAGTCACCTATTAGCGCCTGGTTCGGTGGCGTCCTGCTTCAAGCTGCTACGCACTGGGCTGCTGTCAGTGCCAGTGATGGCGCTGAGCTCCCACTGCCCTTTGATGCGGTCGGCCGCTTATCACGTGCTACACAGATTCTGCTTGCTATTAGAGACGGAAACGTAAGTTCATTCTATTTAAAGTTTAATTTTTAATTTAAAGCGTCCAATTTCATGAAACACTTCACAATCCGCGGCGATAGTTCGTCGCTGAATACAGGACTTAATAGAAGAAATAATAATAAATATAAAATAAAATCGGATGTATTAGTAATTTCCTGTTATATCTATAGCTGCAGAAGATAAATCATATATCTGTTTATTTTAATTTTTAATTTAAAGCGTCCAATTTCATGAAACACTTCACAATCCGCGGCGATAGTTCGTCGCTGAATACAGGACTTAATAGAAGAAATAATAATAAATATAAAATAAAATCGGATGTATTAGTAATTTCCTGTTATATCTATAGCTGCAGAAGATAAATCATATATCTGTTTATTTTAATTTTTAATTTAAAGCGTCCAATTTCATGAAACACTTCACAATCCGCGGCGATGATACACGGCTGTCTAAAGGACTTAATAGAAGAAATAATAATAAATATAAAAGAAAATCGGATGTATTATAATTTCCTGTTTATCTATAGCTGCAGAAGATAAATCATATATCTGTTTATTTTAATTTTTAATTTAAAGCGTCCAATTTCATGAAACACTTCACAATCCGCGGCGATATCTAGTTCGTCGCTGAATACAGGACTTAATATTTTATTAGTTTATTCTATTGTACAATATATCATGTTGTAACAACCGTATGAGTTTGAGGTACCTCTTCTGAGCCAGGAAACCCGATTTATTTAATGTATCTCTTTCTTAAATGAGTTTTCTTTATTCCATCGTATTTTTCAATTTGAGGTGATATTTTTTTTCCAACATCTTAACAGCGTTTAGCGAGCAATAATAAATAATTTTAACAATTTTAATGAACATATCAAATAAATTCTCAATTGATTTACAGGAAACACAAAAACGATAAGCTCTTCCTCACAGATTTCGTCACCACGCTGCGTCTAAGCCTCTCGACCGCTATAGAGAGGCCTGCTAACGGAAGTAGCGATTTCTCCGACGTGAAGAACCCACGGCTGCCGGCCGTAGGGGCGCTGTACCTAGCCAGGGCGCTGATGGTGTCTACGCCCCCTTCGATCCCCTATACAGGCCGGTGAATAACTTCTTCATCGCGAAACAGTTCGTCGACCTCACCACAGTGCCGGACTTCCTCAGTCTGTTCCACGACAGCGAGCTGGAGTCTGCCGAGCGGAGGCAGTGGATCCTCGACGTGATCTGCGACGGCGCGAAGACCATGACGACGCCAACGTGGTGTTCAAGAGCATGTGCCTGAAGATGGCCATGGACTTCTACTCGACGGTGCTGTGCGATCGCAGGACCAGGGAGGGGATATTGGGCGCGCTCAACTCCATCGTGAGCGTGCCTAGGGCGTTTGAAATACTGATGGAGGGGTACGGGCTCCTGGCGTGGTTGCATTGCGCGGCGAGACAGTTGGCCAGGGACGAGGGACGCGTCGCGGTCAAAATGTTCCACCTGCTCGAGAGCATGCTCAGGAGCCTGCGTGTATTGGCGTTCGACAAGTTCGCGAGCAACAATTTCCACAACGCCAAAATCGCTGACGTCGTCCGCGACGTGAAGAGCGACAAAGACGTGGAGTTCAAGATTCTGCTCATCGCCAACGAGCTGTCCGGGCATCTGGACGGCTTGGAGCTTGCAGACGTCCGGAGATACTTGGGCATATACAGATTGGTGTCCAGGAGGGTCGTCAAGTTTCTGACGGCCGGTCAGATTTTGAATTTGATCAACAAATGTGGAGCGTTGGCAAACGCCGGTGAAAGCGTTGAACTGCTGTCACGATCGGTCACTACCGGAGCCGTCATGTTGCGAAGCGCGATTATTGAGAGCTCGATGGATGCGGCACCAGACAACGGCATCGTTAAAGATTTAGTTCTGCTCGTGCAGGCTTATTTAGCGTAAGGACCTTGAAAGGCTGTTTTTGTAAATACAGTTAAGAATTTTAATAAAAGATTACATTTGAAAGAGTCGTTCTCATTTTTCGGAATCGCCCGAGTTGATTTTCCTTCAAGTTAAACAGAACTATCGGAGCACTTGAAGTAAACATTATCAAAGTTCGAATGATTTTAGACCCACGTATGTTTTATAAGAAAATTGAGAACTGCCCTCTCCCCCAAACGATAAGAAGCGGCGTTTTCAATTATTACTATTATTTCTGACTTTAGGATGGACACAGCTGAATATTACTGTTTTCTTATTCAAATAACTAGAGGATGAAATTTTGTCATCATATGAGCCTTATTAAAATAATCATGGAGTTTGCTAGAATTGCTCTTAATTTTTAAGCAAAGCATTTGAAAAAAAGCTATTCCGCCGAGTATTAAATGTACGTCAATAGTAAAACTAGAATGAGTATTGATTCGGAACTAGTCGAAGAGATAATTAAAAGAAAAGCGGTTTTCTTTTAATTATCTCTTCGTCGATCAAGTCTTTCTAAACAACTATGTGCCTTATCATATTTGTTTAAGAGTGAAAGAGACGATAACTTAAATAACGGTGTAAAAAAGGTATTATATATTGTATCATAGCTTTTAACAGCAACATTAATAAGAAATAATAATTTTATTCAGTTTCTGATTCCTGAACTTCAACGTCCATTATCGACGATAAAATGTACCGGAACCCCATACTACCCATATAGTAAGTATTAATAAAATAATGTATCACTTCCGCAAAATAGTCTGCGTTTATAACTCCTTTCTGTTACTAATATAGGTACATAAAAACGTCTTGCCTTATTTTCACTTCAATAGCCTATCGACGGTTATAATTTCCTATCGACACTAGCTGTTTGCCGTGGGGAGGAGGGATAGCTTACTAGGGATAGGAACTTACTTCAATAACAAAGTAATACAGAAGTGTTGCGTAGAATTTATTAAATGTTAACCAAATAAACTCTTATATAACAAATCAATTGGGTTCTCTGAGAATGATTTTAAGTGTCAAATGGTAACCATGGTGACAATTTAACCGTGACAAAACAGTGATCAAAAAGTGTGGTTTAACTTGTACATTTGTGTGTTTTATGTGTTTATTAATATGAATAATGAATTACAATACATCATGTCGACCATGTTATATTGACTTATTGAATCTCAACTCATTTTTAGTATCGGTAAGTGGCACACTATGTTACTTAATCCGCGTTGTCGCCATCTATTTCTTATTGGTTATTAAGTAAAATCTTAACCTTCGTTACTTAGACCATTGGCTTAACCTAATGGCATCATCACTACGACTTCTTGAAGAGTTAATAAAATTCTTCAATTGAATTATCAGTACCTACCTATTGATTAAATAAATGAAATTAGATGTTAAGTAAGAAACGGTATCAAAGTTAACTTATATCAGCATGTTTTTTATAAGACAGCTCATATAAAAGTCGCGGTTCACCTGATGTTAAGTGATAACCGCCGCAGATGCGTTGCCAACTTTTAATTCGCGAGTTCTTTTTTTATTTAGATCCAAAAGTGACAGCCAGTTAGCTTTGCCGCCAAACACTATAAATACGGGAAATTGATTTTTCCACGTAAGTTCCCGAAAAAAAGGGAAAAAAGAATTTATTATAAGTATGGATGGACTTTTTGGCAAGACGGCGAACGTCGCTCCTCAATTAAGAACTCGATCGCATCCTGAGAGGTTCCGCGGCGCGGACTTTTAACTGCGGCGCGCCAAAGTTCCGTGAAGTGATAACGGCTTTTTGTTTCCACTGGACGCGAACGGACGCGCTGAGGATTTAGGAAACTGATTGAACATAAAAATAATCACTCGTGTCCTTTTGAGATGTCAGTTATCGCGTCACAATGATTGCTATTGTTATCCTTACTAATATTATAAACGCGAAAGTTTGTTTGTATGTATGGATGGATGTTTGTTATTTTTGAATGGATTTTAATGAAACTTTACAATAATATAGCTTATTCAACAGAATAACACATAGGCTATAATTTATAAACATATTTTATGTATATCTGTTTTCTGTCTGAATGTTACGCCTTCAGCCTATTATACGCAGACGTAGTCGCGGGCAGCAGCTAGTATCTTATACGTACGCCGTTGGATTCAGGTGCAGGGAAAGCTATCCACATTTGACCAGACTTTAAGGTTACAAACGTGACGAACCAATGATAGGTGACATAGTGTGCTTGTCGTCGAATGTAATTTTGACTTACGCAGTTCTGCATATAAGAAATCGCAAAACCCACCGAGATACGAGAACTCGCGATTTCAGAGTGCAAGTCGAATTTGCTAGCCACTAGGCGATCACTACTTTATAGAGATATTTATTATAGAGCGATTTGACATTTTGCTGTGATGGCGCAAACGCTTGGCATATCAGAACGATGCTTCGATATGTATTAAATAAAAGTTAACAGATGTAACAATTTGTCTCCGGACGCTCCTAAGTCCTAATGTGACGTAAATTAGGAGCGTAACTATATAATTATCTTCCGGTTGTTTTATTACAGCATTTCATAAGTAAAAAATTATAACCATCAGTTTACCGAGTGTGAGCGAATGTAACGCGCTCTTGTATTTTAGTGACTTACAAACAAAGCACTTAACCAATAAATTATCGAATGTTAAAACCAAAAAATTTCTTCCCGACCGGTGTAGAAGAATGTACACTCGGCGGTAAAAACGCTAGGACCGTTGAATGTGGTCCAATTAGTGGCAATTGATTGGTCTTTAAAATCGTAACAGCGAACATTGTCCCTCCGCTGCTCCCATGATCATTTCCAAGAACAAATATTGACGTGGAACGGCGCGTTATGGTCTAACGCCATATGCAGGCACCGGTGCTGCCAGTCGACATGATCGATGGGACATTACTCGGAGGGAACCGGTTTGTTGCTTGGCAGCTTTTTTAATGATTAATAGTACAGGTCGCTTTATGGCACTATTTTTAACTCCAAGTGTTTGTCGTGATATATTGTTGGAGAACAAATTTCATTTGTTTCATTTAATTTTGCTATTAAATTTTGCAAAGTGAAAAAAGTATGTAGTATTTATAAAATCTTGAGTTGACTGAACTGCTGTCTCATGTTATTTTACAATTACTAACGTAATTTTACGTATGCTATGTTTTTTAATCTGTATTTCGGTATTATCTAACAGAATTTGTTATTCTACTACTAGTTACTTATTAATTATTTACGTATTTTACTATGACAAATGGAAAAAATAATACGAAAAATATCTCATAAAGGCTTTAATTTTGTTCTTAGAAGGATCTCAAAATCACATTATCACGATGTCAGATGATAACTGCATAGAGTAGCGGAACAACAATATTTTTTCATTAATGCCAATTTATGATTGTCTTATTTGAAGATTCTTGTTTGAGAAGTTTTGTAGTTTACGTAATAGTATGAGTTTCTTTTGAATACAGTAATAATAGATCGTTATGTTATTAAAATTTGACGATTAAGTATAATCGCAAGCAGTAGTATCTACAAGTGCTACAAAGATACTTGCACAAGCTTTATTCAGTCCTCGCTACAGTAAGGACGAGTAGCCGAAAAAGTTGTTTCACTAATTAAAGATGGCCACCGCTGTCATATTCCCGAGATATCATAATTATGTGCATAACTCTCACAATAAGGTCTCGCGATATTTTTTGTTTAAATGTGTTATAATGATTCTGTGCAAAACATTTAAACATGTCAAGACAAGTTCGGGTGCATGTGACCATAAATGCCGCAGCGCGCTTTCTTGCCAGGACTCATTGAAGACTTCCAAATTCATTTCTTAAAGTTTATAACTAATACACGGTATTATCATTAGTATGCGATTATTATCCGAATTGAGCGTGAATGCACTAAACGAAATAGGAAGTCACGATGTCGGATGGACGAATACAGGAAATATTCAGGGAATAGTACGAGTATTTTGTAAGTACGGTAAACTCTTGTTAACTATCTTTAGTGATATGTTGGCAACTAAGTGATTTGCGATATCAGTTATAGATGTTTCTCCGTGATGGGAGTTCCGTCCCGTCCCCTAGTTGTCTCTTATATCCGTAAATAGTATGATCTACTTCTTAAAAATGTTAGCTGTCATCCTAACCTAGCTTTACGAGTTCATAGCGGAGATAAGTTCTTAAAGTTTTTTTTTTTACTTCTATAATAATATGGAATGCAACAAACGAACATCTTCGCTATCAGATTACCGCTTATTTAGATCCCTAGACTACTCTTTTCGTGGTAAAACTTTCAATGATGATGACGCTGTAAACTTCTCTTCACACAGTTTTTGGCCGAAACGGATCCAACTTTCTACGAACATGGAATTTTCAAGTGGTCACTGAGATGGCAAAAGGTCAAAAAGGTGAATCAAAATGGAAAATAAGATATAGATTACGAGAAACTTCATGTTAAGTTGAAAAAAAAACTTTTATTTCATATAAAAAATTTGCAATGACTCGGTTGTCAACTATATATATCTATACAAAGTAATTAGAAAGTAGTCTTCATAATTAGCCCCTTGCAAATATACATTCCAGGCAACGTTAGTTATAGCACTGAATAAATCTCGCCGTCTTCAAAATCTCGATTGCGGAATAAGTCCGTATCGTTGCGAACAGCGACAGATGCTATCGATGGCGTATGTCGTACTACGGACAACGCTAACAAGCCCCCGCGTAATTGATGTGTTTGTGAAATGGAGCAGGTGTCTATAGTCGCAATGTGTTCGTAAATGTCAATAGATGCTAAGTCACGGGTGTTGCCAGTTCCTTGGAAATACGTTGGATATGCCGATACCTTTAACCGAAGCTGTGTCAGATATAATTGTTTGTTTCATTTATAATTCTTTTCGTGCCTTTGTTACTCTTAATTCTCATCTGTATATATTTATAAAAAATTTTGTAATATATAAATATTGATTATTTATATCAA